CATTTTTGTTTTAATCGAACATTGCTGAACATATTCACCAAATACGTTCTCTGATTTCTTTTTTCAAATACAAATTATTGAACATATTCACCAAATATGTTCAATCTTTTGAATGGAGTGATACAGAGGGATGGAGGGAATGAGAGGTAAAGAAGTGGGTGGGGAGGGATCAAATATGCAGTGAGGTGATTGGTGAGGGGATTTGGAAAGGGAAAGACCGAAAGGAGGGGGGAGGGGGGAATGAAAAAAGAAAATTCTAGAGATTATTCTAAACAAAAAGATAATGTAAATGTTGAACATAAGTTAAACCTAAATTGATTGACTTTATTGAAATTTATGAAGTTCAGACTGAATTGGCTGGATTAGCAGATTCTACTGCTTTATGAAATACAAAAAAAATTAAATGAAAAATAGCTAAAATAACTCTTTACAGTAACTTTAGCCAATACAACCAGAAAATTAACGTTAACCTTAGAGTCCATTTGGTGACTCTGTTTTTCGACTTATCAGACTTATCGTCCAACATTTTAACCAAACACATAACTTTTGATTTCGTGCACTGCATTGTATAATAATAAGAAAAAAGTAAGGTTGAAGTTACTTTTGTGGTTGTATTGGCTAAAGTTACTATATATGACCATTTTAGCTATTGTTTTCATATAATTTAATTTATTTTATCAATAAAATATATTTCAAATATTTTTTTAAAAGTCAGCAAAATCAACCAATACAACTACTTCAATCATAACTTCGTAAATTTCAGCAGAATCAACCGATTCATCCGATTTCGTGTTATTGGACATTTCATTGATATGTCAATGAAATGTCAGTAGAAATAAAATGTTGATCATAACATTGAGAAGAATCAGTGTCCTCAAGCTAACTATTGAAATTATAATTTCATCTTACACCACAACATCACCTTATTACATAAGTCTCACTAATCTTTATCATGCGTCGGATTCTTGCTAAAAAGTCCAACTTTATTTAGTTGATAAAATACGAATAAATTAAGAATGATTTTAAATCACACACTTTATCAAATTTGGTACGGAACAATCTTAGCTGACTTTTTTGAAAAGGAAAAATGAGACAATCTTAACACGGGACAGACGGAGTACGATATTATTTTACTAAATTTTGTTCCGTGCATCGCACGGGTGAAAATGTAGTATTTTATAAAAGAATGTCGTTGGTTTTTTTTAGAACTTAGTCGGATTAGCCAGTTCCGAATCCCCTATTTGTAGAATGCTAGTGTTTTTGCACTACATGTTCCCTTCTCCCGTGATTTCAGAAAACACCGCACAAAAGTGTGATTCACACTTGTGTGATGATTCCAAGTTAAACTGCCCGGAAGAGGCTGTTTGACCCTTTAAGTCCTTCATTCATGATTCATCAATGACGTGAACTTTAGTTTTTTTTTAAAACTAGTTATATTTATGTTTTAAAAAGTTGGTACTCCTATGCCGGTATCTAAGCAAAATTTTGGTCCTATTTAACACCATTCTCCTCTATATAAGGAATAAAGAATACACCTGAAATTAACACTTTCATTATTGCATTCCATCTCAATTACAGTATATTCAACCATTAACACGTAGGTAGGTGGAATAATTAAGCTAGATGAGCGACGACGACCACCGTTGTCGGAATGCATTTTATGTGTTGAATTCCCTTACCGGAAGCAGGTGAAAGAATTAAGTGCTATATTAAGACATGAGCTACTTCTCTTATAGGTGAAATAATTAAGTGCTATATTAAGATCTGGATTACTCCTCCTATCAGGTTGACCTTTTAGGATGGAATCACATGTCTTAACATTATGCTCTAATTTGTGTTGCTGTTATTGTTGTGATATGCTTTATCGCGTTTGCTCCGGCCCTAGGCAATCACGACCTGAAGCCGCCGGATTTCGCCGTCATGAATGCTCTCATTCAAAATGGTACATTACACGCCGCCGACGGCGCCACCACTCCTCTCTTCACCGGAACCTTCGACTTCACCCTCACAGCCAAAAACCCTAACAAACACGGCACTACCCTTATCTATACCTTCAACAATGTTCGATTGATGATAAAGCAACTTGATCCCTGTTCACAATTTGATTATTTTTAGTAAATAAAATTTATATATTCAGAAATTACATTAAAAATTTTACAAAACCTGATCAAGAAAATTAAATTTGTTAAAAATTTGATATATATATTAAAAGATTAAAAATGATTTAAGTTAACCATGTGAATAGTGGTTTAGAACCTTTCAATGGGACGGAGGTAGTATTATTCAGTGCTAAATTTTGTATCGTTTTTTTATTCTTTATAAAGATTGAACTCGACTCTTTCAATTGTTAGAATATTTTTTAGGTTTCAACGCAAACAATTTCTTACAGTGTTATCTCATGACTCAGGATTGGTTATTCTTGAAAAAATCATATATTTTTTATTTATTTATTTATTTATTTGTTTATTTATTTATTTATTTAATTTATTTATTTATTTATTTATTTATTTATTTATTTATTTATTTATTTATTTATTTATTTATTTATTTATTTATTTATTTATTTATTTATTTATTTATTTATTTATTTATTTATTTATTTATTTATTTATTTATTTATTTATTTATTTATTTATTTATTTATTTATTTATTTATTTATTTGTTTGTTTATTTATATGTTATGCTCATGAGCTCACGAGCTCTAATGGATTGAGCTCTAGCTCGGCTCGTTTGTTTAACGAGCCGGCTCGAGCTTGACTCGAGTTCGAGTTTGACCAAAAGTGAGTTTGACCAAGTGACTCACGATCGACTCATGAGTTGATGGGCTCATTTGCGGCCGTAATTGTAATGGACCTTTTTTCCTTCTAGAAACACCACTCAATTAGGCTCAATTAGGGGTGGGATCGGTCCGGTCCGGGTCGGGTTTTTGCTAAACCCGGAAATTACTCGTAAGGTCTCGGGTTATGAAAATTAGGGACCGTAAAAAAGCCCACTATATTCGGTCCGAGTCGGTTTTTTGTAGCTTGGGTTCGGTCCGGGTTCGGGTTGGGTCGTTTAAAGCCCGAATGTGAAACCATCTCATTTTTCTTTTATATTTTAAAATTTATTTTCAAATACATTTAATCAAAAGTACAAACCGCAAATAATAACACAAATATTAGTCTCCAAAATCACCAAGAATTCAAATCCAAAGTAGACAATCATCATGATATTTCGTTTAAGATGCATAAAAGTTAATAATATAGGTTTTCTAAAAATGTCACTCAATAAATTAAAATTTATGGATAAAAATGTGACCAAAGTTACTATAAATATGTTTTCATGGTCATTACGGTAAATAAGTTGAATATATTTGTAGTAACTAATACTAGTAGTTATTAGGTCATTTTTTCGTCCACCATGATTATAATCATATATTAGGAATTAATTTATAAATTATATTGGTATATTATATTGATTTTATATTAAAGTTAATTGTTTACGGGTTTTTATCGGTCCGGGCCGGGTAATAGACTTTAGGGTCCGTTAAATAACCCGAAATTTCGGTTTCGGTCCGGATTTTTTTATTCGGGCCGATCATAAAGAAAAAACTAGGGGCGGGCAAGAATCCCGGTCCCGTTGTCCCATTCCGGTATATCCCGAAACCGTACCGGTGTTGTCCCGTTCCGTTTGGGTCTCATTCATGTTGTCCCGCACCGGTTTCAAACGGGACGGGACCGGGACATTGGAAGGTTATCCCGAACCGTCCCGTTGTCCCGTTTGTAATAACTATATAGATTTTGTAGCATGTGACTAGTTTGTAGTGTCAACTCAAAAAATAAATGATAACATGTTTTTAGTTTTTCAAGCCCAATTTTTAAATTAAAAATAATACCTAACATAAATATTTACTAACATAGGTTTTTATCTCAACTTTATATATCTACATATGAGTATCTCACAACTAGAACACATGATTTTGAATAAACTAATTCATTTTTGCTTTGTTTTAAATTTAAATTTCAAATTTTGCTAAACCTAACTAAAATCTAATACGTAGTAGCTTTTAGCTTGTGATGAACGTCAATTAACTTTTAAAATGTTAATATTTTGGTGCATGATACTTTAGAAATGCAAATATATATTAATTGCAAATGATTATTTTTTGTTAGTTTGGGACGTCTCGAACCGTCCTGAACCGTTCCGAATCATCCTCGTCCCGATTTAAATGGGACAATACTAGGACAAAGGCTTGTCCCGTACCGTCCCGTCCCACTATTATTAATTGGGACGGGACCGGGATAACCCTAATCCCGAACCGTCCCGACCCATGCCCACCCCTAGAAAAAATCCGGACCGATATCATAATTCAGGCCGGGCCAAGGTCAGTTTCCGGGTTTCGGTTCGGTTTTTCCCACCCCTAGACTCAATTACCCTAACTTTTGGCAAAACTCCCGCGTTTTCTCTCATCTTTTATGGAACACATCGATGTACCTTTCTCGTCATTACTTCCTTAAATCTCGGTGTGTATGTCTTCATTCTCAAAGTAACTTTATAGAGCAGGGGGAGTAATACTATTTGGGACCATTGTTGGTGTATATATACAAAATGTGTATATTATCCGTGTACACAGACAATTTGATATCAAATACTGTTCCTTTTAAATGAATTGCCTGTGTACACAGACAACTAGGGGGGTTTTGTGTACAACTTGTGTACAACTCATGTAAACTAAGCATTTTCCTACTATTTCAGTCCAAAATTGATTTGCAAACCCAAATTTTTAATCAAAGAGTTTCATTTTAGTCGCTTAATTAGGATATCAATTTTTAATTATATTTTAATTATATAAGACATTTTTATATAGTTTCTGTAAATTTTAATTATCAAAATTGAATTTAACCTTCAACTTTATAAATTGATTTGGGAAGAGGTTCTTTAATACATACCACGTACTCACGTAGTATATAAGAATGATGTACCTTAACCCTCTCTGTATTCCATCTCAATAGCTAATCAATTGCAATGTACACTGCTTAATGCGTAGGCGCTTGGATGGAATAATTCAACAAGCTAAGATCGATGAGGGAGGAAGAGGAGGAGGAGGGCAACTACTTTTGCAATCTTTTGCTTCTCTTAATTGTGATTTTAGCTATTGTTCTGTCCTTGCTCTTCTTGTTCGTTATCGGCCCAGCCTTATATCAGTCCCACGGCCCGAAGCCGCCGGATTTCGCCGTCGTGAATGCGCTTATCCAAAACGGCACAGTCAACGCCGGCGGCGGCACCCCCCTCTTCACCGGAACCTTCGACTTCACCCTCACAGCCAAAAACCCTAACAAACGCGGCACTACCCTTATCTATGCCTTCAACGCCACCCAAGTGAAAGTGGGTTTGGAGTACGACATATTTCTCATTGATGGAAGCGGTGCTTATAACCGGCAACGTCTACGCCACGGCTACGTCGACCTCGCGTCCACCGCCGCCGCCATGGTTCCGCCGTTCAACCAGACCGGCGGGAACGTCACTACTCTCCCGCTCTCTCTTCAGGCTAATGGCGTGGCGCTTGACGGCAACGCCACCATCACCATCGAGGCACAAAAGAATGCTTCGACCGCCATCTTCGCGACCATTGAGGTGAACGCTGTGATTCTGATTCAGAAGGGTGACTCCGAACCCAAACCTCGCGGGCTTCTTGTCAGATGTGACGCTGTCTTCTCGTACAGTTCTTCCCCACAGCAGAGTCGTCATGATGACGAGCCGGACTGCAGATCACACTTGTGCTCCGGTTCCAACTTCAACTGCACCGATGAGTTTTAACAATTATATATGATCTGCTTGTCTGATCTCACATATGTTTGGTGTATGTGTATTTTAATTTTCGAAAATTGATTTTGTCTCTTTAAATCTAGTTTGGATCGTTCTGGTCTTGTCAATGACAACATCTTTAATTGTTGAGTTAATTCCAAGTAAAAAAACAATGACCCAAAAGCACAAATAGGATTACATGTTTTTATTCTCCCTAGTTGGACTATTTTATGTGTGCTTGCACAAATGGCCGATTAAATGAAATTTTGGCATCATGAAGAATAATTATGCCATTTTCTTGGCATTTTCGGGACAAAATGGAATTTTTATAAAAAATGGCAGAATGTTTACCGATTGAAGGTGATGGTGATGGGAGGTGATGGGAAATGTATCATGTTTTTTAAATTTTTTTATGAGTTTTTACTATTTTTTATTAATTTTTTTATAAAAAAACTCAAAAAAATTTATTTTTTACTTTTTAATTTTAAAAATATTTTTTATTTTTTTTTATTTTTGTACAATTTTAAAAAATTATACTTCCTCCGTTCTTTATTATCTGTCTCGCATTCCATTTTGGGACGTTTTTTATTATTTGTCTCTCTTTCAATTTTAGGAAAGTTTTTGATAAAATACCCCCACTTTTTTTACTTTTACCCCTCTTACTTTTTACAAACTACTTTCTCTTTCCTACTTTATCATAATTTTACTCTACTTAATATACTTTCTTTCCTACTTTATCATCACTTTATCACCACTTTACTCTTTTTAATATACTCTCTTTCCTACTTTATCATTTACCCTACACACTCTACATTTACCCTACTATTTTTCTATTAAAACTCATGCCCAAGGCTAGCGGGACAGATAATAAAGAACGGAGGGAGTACGATTTTTTACTATTTTTTAAGATTTTATTATGCATTATAACATGTTATTATCAAATAATACCCTTAGACCATTTGGAGTGGTGAGGTATTAGGAGTCCAAAATGCTAAATGTAGAATTTTTGGACTCCTAATTGTGTGTAGTGGTAGTTTAAAAGGGGTATTAAAAATGGAAGAGGGGATGGAAGGTATTAAATATAGAGGGTTGGGTAAGAGGGGAGTGGGAAAAAGAAAAGGAAAGAAAAAGAAGAGAAAAGAGAATGCAGGTTGCTTTTCTGGTGCAAATGATGTCATGCTGATGTCATCCCTACATCATAATATCCCAAAAAATTTTAAACTTGTATAACTTTTTTATTTTTTTATCCAAATTTTTCAAAAAGTATATCAAAATTCATAAATTTTTATGATCTTTCATATGACACCAATATGTAATATATAAAAATGGTTTTGGTTAAACTGTTGAAGTTTAAGTTTTTTTTATTTCGTATAACTGTTGAAGTTTTCTTGAACCCCGGAAAAACATGAAACACAAATCTTTAATTCATGAAGCCTTCACAAATAATTGAATATTCCATAATCGAACTTTACTTGAATTAAGATCATATTTTGTTAACCGAAAAACATAAAAAAAATTAATGAAATTTATTTATTTTTATATCGAAATATGTCTTTTTATTTTATAATTAATCAGAGAAAAAATTAAAGCGAAAACATTACTTATAATAATTTAATTAATGTTATACTAAATTAACATGTAAAAAAATGTGCAGAGTGTATTTTATTGACGGTGCTGGAATGCAGAGAAATAGGAGTCAAAACACTATTTTCATATGGACGGAGTCCATTTTTTACATTTAGACTCCCTCACCACTCTAAATGGTCTTAGGGGCATTTCTAGTAGGAATGAATTATATTGTTTGTCCTATTTTGGATGGTAAAAAATATAGTGATCCTATTTGTTCTTTTTTAGTTATTTTTTTATCTTACATAGAGCAATTACTATTAATTAATTGCTACTCTAATTGAAAACAAAACTATTTTTTAGCTTTTTAATTAATTGGTTAAACTCATTACAAATAGCTGATTTTAATTGAATATATATGTCACAGTATATATCACCTAAAGTCTGTGTTCTAAAAGGCTCAGAAAAGCGCCGTCTAGGCACGCCTAAGCTTGATGCGTCAACCAAACGTCTCACCTGCCAAATAGGCGTGCTTTGCATAGGCGTGGATTTGAATCGCCATTGCGACACACTGCTATTCGAGTTGCATGGAATGTCTATTATATATAGTATTTGGAAGGAGGAAGTATTGATTTGTCCGGTGTGGGATAATGAATTCGAAGTACTCCGCAGTCCGCATACAAGGTTGCACCTTTCCATTGCCAACTCCGCATTGCTAACTCGTCCGGTGTGGGATACAAGTGCAAATGACTTTTTTTAAACTAATATCCTAATTCAAAGCAATCTTCTTTATTTGTAATTATTATTATTATTATTATAACTATCCTTACTGAGTACAAGTATTTTTTTCATCAACCATGATACGTTTGTAATTTCCGTATGTTTGTTTATGTTTTTAGCTAGTTTTGGTTGTTTAATATTTTGGACATTACACACTTTTGGTGTAATAGTTTAGTTTGTTAAATCCTTGTAAATTGTTTAAATTAGGATTATTTTGAGCTCAAACAGGTCTACTATCACTCAAAGGATGGTTGGTGAACCCCAAAAGTGGAAAGAAGGTGCAAATCACAAGACAAAAAAGGGAAGATCCTGATTTTTGGTCTATACTCGATCGAGTATCTGTATATACTCGATCGAGTATCAGGTTGAAACCTCAAATCAGATCGGATCCGAAGACAAAAGAACATGCCGGGAAGATTTTGACCACGATTCAGTATCTATACTCGATCGAGTAGACCGACATACCCGATCGAGTATGCCTTTGAGTTTAAACCCGAAATCGGTCGAGTATGGCTCGAATATCACTTTCTACACATACTCGACCGAGTATGAATACATACTCGATCGAGTACTCGACCTGCACCTCAAAAAGCCTATAAATACACCTCCTTTCCTCCACTTTTAAAAACCAATTCCTTTATACTCTTAAGCTCAGTTTAGAATAGCATTTCTTTATATTTCTTTTAGCATGTTTAGTCTCCAAATGAGGAGCTAAACTTCCATTTCTTGGTATTGCTCTTGAAGCTTGTTGATTATTAAAGTTGTGAGTTATTTTCTTAACTTCTTTCCTTGAATATTAATTCTTCCTTTAAATACTATTTCTATATCAATGCTGGGGAGTGTTGCTAAGATGACAATTAGTTAACATCTTGACATTGGTCCTAGTAATAGCTATACCTTCCTCTATGTTAATATCGGGGAGTGTTACTAGGATGACAATTAGTTAACATCTTGATATTAACCATAGTAGGATTCATCTTCTTTAATATTCTTCCTTGAATATTAATTAATCCCTATTCATATTTCATATTAATATTTTGAACATTACTTAAAGGATCAACTAGTTTTGTTTCACATATTAATTATTACTAGAAACGATCAACGAACCGATGGTTAATCGTTGATAGTTTCACAAGTAAGTAACTTCGGTTTATTAATGCACGGTCGTGGTTAATAAACTTAAGAGGGATTAATTTTGTTGGTTAAACCGGAACCGTTGCGTTAAGGTTATCAATCTCAATTGATTTCATCAAGGAGTTAAAAGATTAAATGCTACTATCAAGTCGGTATATGGCGTTGTTCTATACTTGACTAATAGTAAGGGTTATTAATGAACGGTCGTTGTTAATAACTATCCTCGATGAATTAGATATACTCCTCGATTGAGTATTCGAGAGGAGATAAGTTATAGATATAACAATGATCGACTAAAATATATCAACAAGTGTAAAGTAGCAATACCAAGTCCCTTTTATCTTTGAATTAAACCACATAACTCGTTCATCTTCGTGTTTAATTTTAATCAAATCACTCGATCAAAACCCCCCCTTTTATTTACTATTTATATAAAAAGAAAGTTATTCCTTTCCCTGTGGATACGAACTCTACTTCACCTATACTGCGTATAAGTGCTAGTATTGAATTTATTTTGAGTGCACTCACGACAAAGTGCACGTCAAACCAACTCTTTTAAATTATTACGGATTATTAACTGTAAGGAATAAATGTAATTAGATTTTGATGATGCTATAGGATTAGAATTTTAAAGTACCCCCAAATTAGATTTTATGTATTAGAATTTTCAATTGTAAGTATTAGTGTAGTCGACGATCAGAGTTGCTCAGTTTTGGATCAGATCAGAAGTGCATCAGAACTGCTCGACCAAACTTGCTCGATCAGAGTTGCACCATGAGAGTTGCTGATAAACCTGGACATCTGATAACCGATGAGAACTACAGATCAGAGGTACTCATCAGCGGACCTATCAGAGTCAGAGTCAGAGTTCAGTCAGAGATCAGAAGATCATCAGAACTCAACTCATCAGATAGCCATCAGAATCCAACATATCAGAAGAGCCTGATCAGAGCTCGACGAACACTCAGAAGATTTCAAGCAACATCCAACAGCTCTGAATCCAACGGGTAAAAACATCCAACGGCTAGAAGACTGTGCATGAAAGGAAAGCATTTAATGCACATTAAATGAGCCTGATACGCTGAAGGATTGATTGCAAATGATTGACCAAGGAATCCGGGAAGATATTTTATAAAAATAGAAACCTTCCAAAACGGCGGTCAAGTCAACTGTACGCGCATTCAATGCAGTTGTCTCCTCCTCCAACGGGCAGACAACCTCAGTATATAAGCTACACACCGAAGAACAGAAAAATAACTTTGACACAACTTTTGGTCATCATAATTCAAGCTCTCTTGAGATTCAAATTCTACAATCTTCAACAAGACAAGCTTACGTTGGGAAGATTCAAACTCCAAATCTCTCATCCCCAACAAACGAGCAAAGTTCATCCTGTTCTTCAACTCTTCAAGAACTTCATCAAACATCATTTGTGACGAAGCAAGTTGGAGGAAA